AAGTTTTAGACTGGGTTCAGTGTGGCAGCGACGTTAAGAGTATACACCTGATGATGGCCGATAGAGGCCGAAACATGTAGTGTAGAAAGAACAAGATCAAAGACATATAAATATATATTGTTTGCACTTAGGACGGAGTTTGTATCATTTATCGTGTAGTGTGCAACAGGATGCTTAAATATAATATTATATATATATATTTCCTAGTAGTACTAGCTACCACGGCAGTCTATTCACTTGAACGGTCGTATGCCTGACCGCCGCCAAGTTTAAGCCTCTTATACTTTCTGTGTCGGGCTTCGCCTTCTCCGATGTTGCTGAGAACCTTGTTTTGCAGGCGCTGCAATTTCACTAGATGGGTGTCTGCCGCAAACTCCCAGGCGGGTCTAGCATAAGTCATTACGGATATAATAAGAGCTTTGTGGACGGTCAGTTTAATGTTAGCGCTCAATTGCTCACTTTTGAATTGGGAATATACTCTAATGAATGTTCTGAAGGCCATGGCTTCGATCGTTTCTATGTGTAATCTCCATGTCACTCTCTTATCGAAGATTACACCTAGATATTTTGCACTATTTACAAATGTAATATTTAGTCTATTAAGAGTACGACAAGACTCAGGCGGTCGACGACCACGACAGAATTAGACCCCTTGAGTCTTTATCTTCATTAATTTTTATATTCCAGCGCTTACACCAAGTCTCCATTGAGCTGAGACCGTGCACGAAAAAAAAGAATATGCTAATTTATCCGAGACTTTAAGTCATCAGGTTAGCTTTCAGGAACATTTATAGGTATGTAAAATTAATTACTTAATTTTCTAACGTACCGTAATAATGTCTTGGTTAATATGAAATTACCTGTAAGGTGAGTCAATATGAACTTTCATTAAAATTTATCACCATTCAAAGTAATAGAGAATTGAGAGATTTGAACATACAAAATCATTTGATTTTGAAAAATAAGGGATTTGTACCTTAAATGTTTGCTCACCTCAGACGGGTCACTAGAATTCATTTACCATGACTGTTTACCGCCAGGGATTGACCGACAATGAGGTAAACTAAATTATTCCAAAATGATCCGTATTTCATTATTTTAAACGAAACATTAATACAAAGAAGAGTGCGATAAAACCATAGTGGAAATTTAGGAACCGATACTAAAAAAACATACATAGAATAACCACTAGGGAAAATTCATAATTTCCTGTCAATCCACTTGGTCGAAATGTTGCGCCTCAGATCGGTCACTGTTCACGAGCGCTCTGCCGACTTGTTTCCGACACACATGAATCAACTGATGATATCGGGTTTGAAAAATTTGGTAGTTCTCCGATAACTGAAGCGACAGTTTGTTCGCATCCTTTTAACTCTTTTCCCGGCATTTCGGCAACGATCACGCGAAGAAACCAAACGCGGTTTTTTAACGCCTGGCTGAGAGAAGCGTGGCGACTGGCCGCCGTGCGTTCACGCCTATGTATTCACGGCTTTTATGTTTACACGAGACGTGACCACGGCTGAACTACTTTCACTCCTAGTAGACGTCGCACCACGACAATGTAAATAACCCACAGAGGCTTAAACTTGGCGGTGGTCAGGCATATGATCACTCAAATGCCATGGTGGCGAATACAAGAAGTAGGGCATAATTTGCTGTACTGAGCCTGGATTGACAGAAGCCTCGTAGAAATTAAGGATTAACATTAAATTGAAATACTGACAAATGAAAAGGCCTGACCAGTCGTCAGAGACGGCGCTCCAAATGGACTTTCACAAAAACATTTGGTCATCATCCCCAGCTGGGGCTGACAAAGACTGACCGTGACTTGGTTTCATTTTGCGCTGCTCCATTCATGGACAATTACCGGGAATCGCGTTTGCCCAAATTTCCTGCTGTGCTCTTTACCTTAAACTGTGCAGGCCACATAATGACAACCACCCCCACATAATTTGGGGCCCTTATAAGGGCCGTTTTTGTCGGAACTTCACTTCAAGCTTTTTTTTCAGTCTTTTTCGGTAGCAGTACAGCCTGAATATTAGGCAAAACCCCACCTTGGGCGATCGTAACGCCAGACAGAAGTTTGTTCAATTCCTCGTCGTTACGAATGGCCAGTTGCAGGTGACGTGGGATAATTCTGGTCTTCTTGTTGTCACGTGCAGCATTACCTGCCAACTCAAGAACTTCAGCAGCAAGATATTCCATAACAGCAGCCAAATAAACCGGTGCACCAGCGCCTACCCTCTCTGCATAATTACCCTTACGCAGAAGCCTGTGAATGCGGCCCACGGGAAACTGAAGTCCAGCCCTACTGGACCTCGACTTAGACTTTCCCTTCACCTTGCCGCCCTTTCCGCGTCCAGACATCTCTCACACACTCGATAACAGCAAGAAAGTACGCCACAAAAATTTTCGAGGCATGTCAACGCTTGTCCTTTTGTTCACTAGGAGGAAACAGGACCTAGCCAATCAGGGAACGAGTTCTTCAGTCTTTTATATTAAATGAGTGGCAGCTGAGCCGAACCAATCAGATTGAGATCCGAGACGGTTGGATAACGAACCAATGAGATCTAGAATTCGAGTTCGCCCACGTCATAAAACTACGAACTTTTCAAAATTTTGTGAATAGTGCATTTCAGTCTTCGTACGTTGTATTGAGATTTTGAGCGCTATGCCTCCTAAAGCATCTGGTAAGGCTGCGAAGAAGGCCGGTAAAGCACAGAAGAATATTTCAAAGAGTGACAAGAAGAAGAAGCGGAAGAGGAAGGAGAGTTATGCCATCTACATTTACAAAGTTCTGAAACAGGTTCATCCAGATACAGGCATCAGCTCGAAAGCTATGAGCATAATGAATAGCTTTGTTAACGACATCTTCGAGCGAATTGCGGCTGAGGCATCGAGATTGGCCCACTATAATAAGAGGTCTACGATTACAAGCAGGGAGATTCAGACTGCAGTAAGGTTATTGCTGCCTGGAGAACTGGCGAAGCATGCAGTCAGTGAGGGGACGAAGGCAGTTACGAAGTACACGAGCGCTAAGTAAATTGATTTGTGATGAAACGGCCCTTTTAAGGGCCACAAATTTGTTTGGCGTGAGCATTGTTTGTTTAGATTAAGCAAATTTTTGTTACCGTTATTACTCTTGTAATTAGAGTGAAATCAGTGTTACTCGTTTCAGCAGCCTACTTCCCCTCTTCCATAGCCTGGTGATGAATGGAGCTACTATCTTACAAGGAGTGAGTTTTTTTAGTTTCAAATTCCGTTTGGTGTCTCTTCGCTTTGGAGGGCTTGCGTCCCTCGTTATTTGAGAGCTGCATAGAGCGTCGCTATTTAGGGGTTTCTAGGAGCGTATTTGGATTGTCCATTTTTATTCATATCGCAGCCTCAAGATTATTGGCCTTTTCTTCCTCACAATTTGATGCGTGATTTATATTTCTACAATGAGGTTGAAATCGAAAGTACTCGCGTAAGTTCTAGTTATGTAGAAGTACCTGAAATATACCCTAGATCTTGGGTGGACAAGTGGCTCTAGGGCAGGTACTGCTTCGAGCAGTTACACGGCCATTTGTCCTTCTGTCCTGTGGTGATATACAATCAAGGGCAGGCTACTGAATGTAATAATGCGTACATTTTGTTTTCTTCCGTCATACACATAGTTCCCGTGGGTAAATAAAAATATGTCGGGCGCATGTGCTTTCGGCGCCATGCCCCTTGCAAGAGACCCATTGCGTATGATAATCAGAATAACGGTAAACACCGTGTGTTTCCCTGAATGTCACTGAGGGACTGGTATTTGTAAGACACGAGTTCTCTTTGTGGCAGGAATTAATCTTTCTATTATTATTTAAATAAATCTTATATTTAAAATGTTGCACCATGTCACCATAAGACTCGGCGTTGCATAACGAAGTAATAACAAACAAGACCTACTAAACCACTTTTCCCATGTTTTTAAACAGGAAATGGTGCATTCTCTCCGCGTCCTCGGTTCGCTCCCATGGTATGTTGCCTAGACGCAGTCAGATATATCGACAACACTTCGAAATTCCGGGAAAGCCCGTTAACGCCTCTTATTCCACAGCATGCGTCACGACACATGCCTCAAAACCACGGTGTTTTGAATCACTCAGTCTCTCTTCCTCTGTGTCTCATCGCCAGGCATTCCCCGCAAGAGAAATGTAGGAAGAAAACACGAGATTGAAACCACAAGAATCCACTAACCTCAGAGATTTCTTGTCATTGTGTAGTAGGCATATATAATAAAAGAATTGCGCTATCTTGCGTAAGTTGGAACAAGACCTGTGAAGAAGTGCATAACACATGCCATCATGACAGTTGTAAACTGCATAGAATTGTGGTTTATTTTAGTGCTCTGTGTAAGAATTGTGACTGGAGGTGTCTTAGACGTAATATTCGAGTGGAAGGAGTTGGACTTTGCCTACCCTAATTCCAGGCTTCGTCAAGAAGCTGTTGAAAGTCAGTCTTTTATTCCAAGCAATAATGTACCTGTCGGTTTGGAAGTCTGGAAGAACAAACTGTTTATAACAGTGCCACGATGGAAACGCGGTGTTCCAGCGTCCCTGGCTTACGTCTACTTGAACCAAACAGGTAAGCACATCACTGCCACTCTTAACGGCTGGTAATGAACCAGCTCTTCTATTATGCTGGTTCTGTTAGTTATTCGACGGTTCTGTACTAAATGGTCCAGCAATTTGAATCTTTTCTGTCATTTTTCAGGTAGCATTTTTTTCGAAATATTGACTTATGTGTGGTTTATTCAACGACGCCCCAGTAGTTCAGTGTATATTCAGCGCGTCTGGAGAGTAATAAGATAGAAATGCAGTCATTGTGTTTCTGAACATTGTCCATTGTCCTGTTTTATTTGAAACACATTATTTTGGAGACTGGATTCTGTCTTTCATCTTTAGGCGGGATCAACTCAGCCGGGCCCAATCGATAGAGCTAGTCCCTATTTCACGACGGATGGGCAGTGGATAATGTCCAGAAACACATCATCACAGACCCTCGAAGATAGAAATCATTAAAAAATGTATCAGGAAGAAGACGAGTTCTGTAGTTAGTCGTGGGCTTATTTCAGTTGCTCTCCCGGCACAGCGATATGAATCAGAGGTGCAGGACTCCGAGCCGAGGTATCCCCAATACTCGTGACCGCAGTTAACAGTACCCAACGTATAAGATTGGCGGTGACTATGAAGAAAGCAGTCTTCTGGGATTTGGCACCGTGTTTGTGTGGTGTTAACCGACGTTTCGGTGGAACGTATCGCCTCCATCTTCAGGGTAGAAGGAAAAATATAAGAAATCCACAAGCGAAGAGAACGTGAGAACCGGTAAAAGGAGACTGGTGTTGGAAATATACACAGCTATGTGAGAGCATTGAAGGAAGGGGGGAAGGGCAAGTATACANTCTTCCATGACTTTTAGTTCCCAACATGTTTAAGGGGCATATGTTTTTACATAATGAAATGGAATTTCACTCAGTTTCTTGATTCTTCAATTATGAAGTTCAAAGAAACAACGTATAAGTGTATTTTAAATATCTACATAATGCCGTGCCAGTCACAGTGGCATCGTGGTCTAAGGCACGAACCATGTTCTTCCTCTCGAACACTGGCTTCACGGGGTCGAATCCCACTCGAGGCATGGATGTCTGTGTGCGTATATTCCGTGTTTGTATTGTTCTGTATGTAGGTAGCGGCCTATCGACGATCCAAAGAGTCCTACCAACTGTGTACGCATTAAGAAATTAAAAACTGTCCAAGGTCCACAAGGGCTATACAGCCATAGATGGAAATAATGCTGTGACCAGTGACCTATTGCTACTTCCGCTAGCATGTTTGGACGTGGTTATAGCTTCAGTATTACCTACGTACGAACGTCTGAAATCCTGAAGATTTTAAACGAGCATAGTAATCCTCCGCTTAACATTTCACTAAATAAAGTTCTTTCGTAACTACGCTGATAATCTTCTGTACACAGTATCGAGTTATCCATTTCCGTTGTTAAAAGTGACTGGGTAGAGCCAATGCTGAAACCGTAGCTAAAGTCAAAGTCATATTCAGATGATACTTTTAAGTGAAAGCTGCTACCTAGTGATACATATAGAAAAACTATTACATCAATTAAAGCTGTTTTACTCCCATTTGTAACCAATTTACTGACTCTCCCTTGCACATCCTTTTCCGTGAGAAGACTCATCACTTGCATGCAAGATTTGTTGTGGATTCTATGATCATAATTGCCACGAGAATGGACGTTGCGATGCCAATTACAGTTCTATGCATTAGCAAGTTAATGGTTTTCTCTGCAAATTATCTATACGTTCTCGCTTTTGAATACTGGACCGTTCCTACTTCTGAGGTAGTCTCTATTTTGCAGGTAGAAGTTCGCCAGAGCTGATACCATACCCGAATTGGGAAGCGCACGACCTGGACTCGGTCATCACACCTCGTTTTCAGCATGCCAACAGAAACAAGACTTGCATAGTTTCCCCTTTCCGTATCCGAGCAGATTCATGCGACAGGTTGTGGGTACTCGATACAGGAAAGACCGACATTCTAGACAGCCAGGAGCAAGTCGGGCCCAACCAGCTCCTTGTTTACAACCTCACAAACGATAAACTGATTCGACGTTATGAAATCCCCAAAACCTTCACAAGGAACGAATCCGTCTTTGCGAACATCGCTGTTGACGTGAAGAGTGGCAGTTGTGAAGATACTTTCGCATATATGGCTGATCTCGGGGCTTCCAGTATGGTTGTGTACAGCTGGGGGACAAATGCGTCATGGCGAATCACACATAGATACTTCCATAATGACCCCAAGGCTGGTACGTACCAAGTGGCTGGAGTAAACTTCGAGTGGACTGATGGTCTCTTTGGACTAGCGCTTTCAGCTGAGAACAGCAGTGATAAATATAGGACTCTATTCTTTCACCCATTCTCGAGTTTCAGTGAATTTGCTGTCTCCACCAGATTGCTTCAGAATGAGTCGCTGTGGACAGACCCTAAACGGTCTAATATGAGCAACCATGAATTCAAATGGCTCGGCGAGCGAGAAAGTAACACCCAGTCCAGTGCCTCGTTCTTAGATGAGCGGACTGGGATTCTTTTGTACACTCAGGTAAGGCGTTTTATCTTCTGCGATATAACGCCGTGTAATGCGCTGAAAGTTAACCGACTTTTCGAAGGAATATTTCTCCTTGTTACTCACGCTTGCTACTTCTAGACTCAAGATGGAGGGGAAATGTTCCTCAAAAATGTCTGTCGACCTTGAACGTACTACTTACTTACTTACTTACTCTGGAGGGGCCGCCAATTCTGCAGCTATTAAGAATTTCCCAGCATTTTATGGAACCCGAAGGTTCATTACCGTGTTCACAACAGCCCTCCACTGGTCCCTATCCTGAACCAGATCAATCCAATCGATACCATCCCATCCTATCTCTCTAAGATCATTTTAATATTCATCCGCCTACGCCTTGGTCTTCCCTGTGGTCTCTTTCCTTCTGGCTTTCCCACCAACATCCTATACGCATTCCGCTTCTCCTCCATTCGTGCTACATGACCTGCCCACCTCATCCTCCTCGACTTGATCATTCTAATTATACTTGGAGAAGAGTAGAAGTTATGAAGCTCCTTATTATGCAGTTTTCTCCAACCGCCTGTCACTTCATCGCTCTTCGGTCCAAATATTCTCCTCAACATCCTGTTCTCAAACACCCTCAGTCTATGTTCCTCCCTTAATGTCGGAGACCAAGTTTCACACCCATACAGAACCACAGGCAAAATTATAGTTTTGTATATTCTAATTTTTATGTGTTTGGACAACAGACGAGAAAACAAAGGTTCTGGACTGAATGGTAGCAAGCATTACCCGAGTTCAATTGCCTCTTAATTTCCTCCTGAATCAGGTTTCGATCTGTTATCATTGTTCCGAAATATCTGAACTGTGCCACATTTTCAAAACATCTGTTTCCTGTCTTTATGTCATGATTTTGTTAACGTACTACAGGGCATTATAATCCAGGAGATAGAAATATTCATAAGCACCGCTGTGACAAGTTCAAATCCTATTTGATATTAGTTCATACAGTATTAATACTGTTACGTGCCGCCTAGGGCCGGAATATTTGGAATCAGAACTCATCCATGGCTAGACAACGGCTAGCAGTGCCTAGGCGGCGAAGCCTAGGAAACCGTTGCCCCAGAAATGAAAGTTTATAACAGTGGCGTTTCCACCAATACAAACGAATTGTTTTTATTCAGTTTATTTAGGTTGTTATGCATGTTTTGTTTGTAATTTATTTGTAATGTCTTGTGGTAATTTTTGAAATTAGTTTTGGTAATGAACTCTTCAATTTTGTTTCTGTAGTCGTTTTGTATAGTATAACTAGCGTGTTGCCTCTGTCGGCTTTTGTTATGATTAGTTGGTTTTAATTCTTTGTGCCTTAAGCTTTCAATATTTTTCATTCGAGATGTTCTCAAAATTTTTTGGCGTCTCTCTTTTAAGGAGTTGTGTTTATTTGTAATCCTTGGGATGTTATTCACTACTAGTTATCTCATATATCCTTCGTCCTTTTCTGGTAGTTGACATACGGCTGTGTCGGCTTCGATCGCAAGCGTTTGCATCCACTTTTTATATTTGTTGTGTAGGTTATATTTTAGTCCTTTGTTTAGGAGTTGTATTTCTATGTCAGTGAAAGCAATGTCCATTACATTTTCTGTTCGTTTATAAAACGTATGATTGGTTCATTTAACTGTAGTTTGTGTACATGTGTTTTGAATTGAATTGAATTTATTTACATTCTATAAATCCTAAGTAGGTTAGTACCTTTGGATACAGAACAAGTCAAAAGGTTACATACATAAGTACAGGCAATTTTAGCTTAAAAATTAATATAACATAATTTTACATCATTCTCTATTTACATTGAAGTATTCATCTAAAGAGTAGAAGGAATGAGCATGTAGATAATTCTTTAACTCTGATTTAAACTTTTTAGTATCATTGCCCAAGTTTTTAATACTTTGTGGCAGATTGTTGAACACTTTTATGCCAGTAAAGTAGACTCCTTTTTGATA